CTGGTAGATAAGCCACAGGTTGGAAGATGATTGCTCCCACACTGATGAGTAGCTGATGTTTAATCAGAGTAAACATTTTTCTTTAGAGGAAAACAAAGAGAAGCAGTTTGAATGACTGGCCACTGGATTTGGGCAGGGGATGGTCTTCCAAACTGGAAGGTTTTCAGAATTGTCCATCATCTACAGGTCTTGGCTCAGATGTTTTACTGCTGCCAGATGCAAGGGCTTTGAGTGCTGTTATGGAATTGGCAGACATGAGCAGTATTCACCTGTCTCCCCAACTAAAAATGCCAGCATCCAGTGACTCAAATCTCTGTAGCTGACTTGCTCTTTCCTTGGGTCACCCATCATGGTAAGGTAGGATGTGAACTTCTTCAGCACCTTGCTTGGGAAACAACATCAGGGAGCACATCTGATTTACTCAGGAAACATCTCATTATTTCTGACATTTGAAATCAGAAACCAAGTGTTAACTGAGCATAAGAGTTTTGATAGTATTATAGTCTTCTGTGGCAACCAATTAACAGCAGGCTCTGAGATTGGCAAGTATACATTGAAGAGGACCAACTGGCTTTGACAGAATCTGACTATTGGTATAGTCTTAATGTTTTCTGATCACCTTGGTCCATGTGTTTGAGCCATTACAGGCACAGATGATAAGAATCTGAATTTGGCAGTGGATGTTTAGCAAGAAAGTGAATGGCACGAACGGAAGAGCTGTGGAAGCAAGAGGCCAGCGTTAATGTAGTAGGCGAGAATAGCAGTGACAACTGACACAGAGCAAAGCACCTTTGAAAACCATAAAATCAGAAAAGCATTACCAGAAAGACCTGTCAAAACTGATTAAAATCGGGGAACTAGCAGAAATCACAAGAATGAGCAGGACCACACACATAGTTTTTGATGATGTGTGAACACAGTCCCCCACCTTGACCACCACCAGACAGCACTGGAGGACCACAAAGCCCAAGAACTGGGGGGTGTCCACAGTGATAGGACCTGGAATTTTTCTCCAGTGGGAGAAACAGCTGCCAAATTCAGCAAACTTTGTTGGTGGAGCTGATGTGGTTGCTCCGTAAGAAAATACAGATAACGTTTCTTTAGGAACCCAGCAGACAACTGGAGAAAAGATGCACGGAAAAAAGAGAAACCTTCTGTAACATAGGTCTGGCTCCAGTACACAATGCGTTTTGCATGTCTCAGGAGTGTAGTATCTCTATTTGCACATTTTAAAATCCTGCATAGTAGCATAAACAGGATGGCACAAGAAGGTTGTGGGAGTCGAGAGAACTGTGCTATGAAAGGAAGAGACCCTCATCAGTATTTCTGCCATCAATACTTTGGGGAGGAAAGAAAAGAGCAAATCCCAAACCCCAAGCCCCACACTAAATATGCCACTAAATATGCACTTGTTCTCTCGGGCTGGCAGCCTCGAAGTTCATAAACTCGGAATTACCTTGTTTTGGAATAAGCTGTTCTGAAAATAATTTCCAATGGCTTCACCGAGTTTGCTTTGCTGGTGGCAGCCCTTTGGCTCCAAGCTGGCATGTGTATGAAGCTCTTTGAACAAGTTTTGACCTTCCTTTTGCCCATCAAGCCGGGTAATGACATGCTTTGTATTGCACAGAACACATACAATTGACAAGTTCATAGTGGTGTTTAAATATTAAACAATCTAGACAGGCTTTTGAGTCTTATGCCACTAGGAAAAGGCTCAGACCATACCCATCTTTGAAATTGGGCTGCGGGATCATTTGCACAGTAAGACAGACAATAAGACTTGTATACATTGCCATGCAACAGAAGAGACCCCGAACCGCCAGCCCTAAGTGGAAAGTTTATTTCTAAGCACAATATATGGAAAAACCAAACCAACAAACCCCACAGATATAGAAAAGGTTGTAGCAAATCCCTGGTCAAGTAGGACTTCATGTCGGTCACTACCCTGCACCTCACAGCTGTTTAAAATGTCATGCAATGGAGGAGAGGGCACTCAGAGGACACCCTCTGCTTCAGATCGAGGCGGATCTCCAAGCAGGAGAGGGCCTGTGGTTCTCCTGCTGAGCACTTCGGACTGTAACCAGCAAACAGGCAGCGCTGCTCACCCCCACCACACACCTCGTGACTCCCTGTGGCACTTCAGCAGGCTTTACCAACGTGGATTCTCACAACACCCCTGTGAGGTAGGTACGTATTGTTATTCCCCCTCTGTGTGGATGGGGGACTGAGCCAAACAGCCCAAGGCTACAGAGTCGGTGGCAGAGCTGGAGTGAGAGTAACGTAGAGTCCTGTGTGCTCGGATCGCTGTCACACCACTCTCGCACGGCAAATTGTGCTTCTGACCTGGTAAGTTTTTAGCCTTTTGCCAAATTAAAGGAATTTGAATTCTCCATTTTAAATGAGGGGAGGACGGGGGGGGGGAAACAACATGTTGTCTGATAGCCGTCTGTTCATTGGCATATGCCTTCCCCTCCCCAAAACCATCACCATTGCCCATCTCTTGGAATGAGCAGCTTCCAAGACGGGCGTGGGGGTGAGGCTGCTGAGTTTGCTTTTTTTAACCAAGTTCATCTCTACTGTGGGTCAGAAGTACTTCTTTCAGAGTCTGTTCACTGCAATACTGTTATTCTGGTGTAGCTGCTTTTAGAGATGATGAGAATCACCTGTTCCTCTCCTTCTTCCCACTAACGTCCTTTCCCTCACCTCAGCCAAAAGCACTCTTTGGTGGATAATAAGATTGCTCAGATATAGGTACAGTGGCCTCAGAAAGCATGCTGTTCATGTCTGTCTTCATCATGTCAGCTTTCTTGGCTGGTGTTTCACCTCCCAGATTCTCTGCTAGAGCAGTACCTGCTCTGTTGCCTTCTGATATTCAAAGGGACACTGTCAAGTAATCTGAATGAAAAACATGACCCTGCCTTAAGACTCTATCCTCCATCTCCAGCATTACAGAATGGCTGGTAGTTCAAACATGGGGGCTAAATTTGACACGTCCCCCAGTGCAGAAACATTGAACCTATAACAGCCTTGCTGCTGTGGGGGCTTGTGGCTTGCATTTGCCACGGCTCCATTAAAAGCTGTGGGAGGTGTTGGTGCAATGACAGCAGGCAGTCGGACACAGCTACTGCACACTGCTTCTCAGCACATCTGCAGAATGGGCATGGTTTGGCTGAAGTCACAGCAATTTTTGGGAGGGCTGAGTTCAGGCTTGATCACTGCAGGCTCATTGTTTTTGGACTCCTGAGCTGCTGCTCCTCAGTGAGCCGATCTCTCTGTTTTTAGGCTTTCTACTCTGATGCTTGCTTTGTGGCAGCTGCATCAGCAAAAGAGCTTAGCCTCAGAGAGCTGGGAGATACACTCCATGGAGCGAGGACAGTGAGCAGGAAATTGGAAACATGGATCTCTTCCTGTTGCAGATGAAAGGTGGAGAAGGACAAGGATGGTAAAAGCAATGAGGTGAATAGAGAAAACACTACATGCCAAATGGAAAATAACAATATCAGTAGGGAAAGAAATTTTATTTCCAAGATTGTAAGAGAATATTACAAACAATGGAGAGTAAAAAAAAGCCCGAACTCTAAAAACTATTTAAAAAGTACTTGACAGTGTCCCTTTAATATCCACAAATGATTCAGCCATTGTGCATTGAAAGAGGACGTTCCTGAAGAGCAACAAGTACCTTCGTGGATATATCCCAGAGAAGGAGACTTATTAGAAGTGTTATGTATTTGATCAGCAACTGCGCTCCCTCTTCAGACTAACTCTCTGTTGAACTACTGAATGGAATAGACTCTGTAACAAACAAACTGGATGTGAAAGGTTCAGCCTACAAGACTGAGACTGTTACATATTGAGCAGCAGGGGTAAAGACACTGAAAAAAAAAAAAAAAAAACCCACATATTTCTCAAATGTATGAGTACGTGAATCAGCAAAGTACCAGAAACCCACAGAAACGGGTCAGCTTTCTGTGACTGGAGTAAAATGAAAGGAAATTAACCTGGGATGCCTGCATGGAAAAATGGTGCATGAGTGGGAAAGATCTGGATGCTGGATTTGGGGTTATGAAGGCATAAATCATACCAGTACTTGTGCTTGAAACACCTGCGGAGCATTTGTACAAAATTCGCCAAAAATGCCTATATGTTGAATAAAGGTCATGGAATGCCCTCCCTCCCCCCCCTCCCAACTCCACCCCCACAAACCCTTTGTCAGGAACATTATGAAAAATCACAATTTTTGTTTTGGTGAAATTTGGGTACGCCTGGGCTTTGTTGCATTTTCTTGGCGAGATGATTCAACGGTCAGTTGTTGTTGTGTTTGGGTTTTTTTTTTTTCCCATAAATTACTACTGAAAAATCCCCAGCCATTTCACTTCAGATATCCTATGGTAAATCGAACAAGGTTCCAGAATGACTCATGAACAAAACGACTCATAGCCCTGGTTAATCACAGTCTGGAAAAAAAAAAAAAAATACTCCAAATATTTCATTCCCTTCCTGGTTTATATAAATCTCACACTTGCGTGCGTGTGTGTGTGTGTGTAGGGTGGGTGTGTACAGAGCATCACCTATTCCAGGTAATAGGATTTGTAAGACATGCTAAACCGTCTGTTCCTCTGCTTCCCCAGAACTCTGCCTACTCAGTTTTTAGTCTGTATTGCACTTGTTTTGTTGGTTTTTTTTTTTTCTTTTTGTGATTTGTGTGGTTGTTTTTGTTTTTGTTTTTTTTTCCCTTTTTTTTTTTTTTTTTAACTGGCTGGAAAACATTAACCTCTTTAGCATGAGTGTGCAGCTCTCTCTCCACCTGCTTTCTCCTCAGCTGGCCAGGTGCCGCCTCTTATATCTTGTGCAGTTACCGAAAAAAAAAGAAAAGAAGGAACAGAAGAAGAAGAAAAGAAAAGAATAAAAGGGAAGAGAAAGAAAAAGGCACACCATGCTCCTCTGCGTTACGAGTTCTGCGTCTCCTCCGCTCTGCGTTAAGGCCTCCTGAATTCCTCGGCTCAGACCGTCGTGACCCTCATGACGAGCTCTCTGTTACTACTAGACTGACTCCTCTGTTCGTGAGGCCTCAGGTGGCTGAGTATATGCAGGATGGTGTAAGCACAGTGGTGGTCAGAGAGGGTGCCTGTGGCATGGCCGGCGGCCCGGGCCCCGCTGTCGGCCGGAGCGGAGTTAGTGGCTGTACCACCAGTGGAGGACGAGTGGGTGGTTTGGGAGGAGGGACGCTGATTTGTCCTGGTCCCTGTTTTTTGTTCCTCCATGTCCTTTGTTTTGTCATAGTTCAGCACTTTCCACTGCTGATTGACCGCCTGCCACCGTTTAAAAATCCGGTAAACTGAGGGCCCTTCGTGTATTATTAGACCTGGAGGGAAGGGGGAAAGAATTAAACATAAAGTAGAGATAAACTTTAGAAGAACCATCATCTTCATCACCCCAGCATCGCGCCCTCCAGCTGGCTGTTCTGCTCAGCTCTCCCTCAGCTTATTCAGTGATATATCATGGGATCACAGAGTTCATGGAAGGGACCCTTACAGGCCATCTGGTCCAACCCCCTGCAGTGAACAGGCACGCCTACAGCCCCACCAGTGCTCAGAGCCCCTCCATCCTGACCTTGAGTGTCTGCAGGGATGGGGCTTCCACCACATCTCTGGGCAACCTGTGCCAGTGCTTCACCTCCCTTATTGCAAAAAAATTTTCTCTCATATTCAGTCTAAATCTCCTCTCTTTCAGTTTGAAACCATTTCCCCTTCTGCTTCTGCTCTGCTGGATCCCTTTCCCCCTGAATTAAAAGGATTACAGCTTCATCTCAGCAATCAATAAACAGGTCTTAAATGCAGCGGAGTGAGTTATGCTCTTACAGCAGAACAGTATCTGTTTACCAGTAAATGCCTGAGGTTTATCTATCACCGAGCTGGTTTTGCATGCTGCATAGGCATGATTCACTGTGTGTTTGGAGGGTAAGTAACTGCAGCTGACGTGCTGGTGACGTCTGCTGCACCAACGTCACTGCAAACTCAGAGCACATCTCCCCACACACACTGCAGCGGAGCAGATATGCGCACAGAGGCCAGGGACAGCAGTCAAAAACAAGAAGGGGCTGGCTATACCTGTGAATGGTTTGTCCTTCTCGGCAAATGTTTGCTCATTGGCAAAGCAGGTACCTTGTCAGACCTCATCGCTTCCAAGGGGAGAAAACAACACACTTGGAAAAAAAGAGCTTACGTAGTTTCTGCTGTGAGTATGCAGGGAATGCATATGTCCTGTTACCCACCTGTATGCACCTGATAGAACTGATATCTGGGGGATGGCAAGTGGGCTTTAGGACACTTGATTTCTCTGCGTTTGAAAGAGAGTGAGCTGCTTACACCCTTCCACTAGGAGTTAGCTCATCTCCCAGAGCTCTGCCATCCTCCCCACAACTAGAGGGCTGGAAGGATGAGATAATGCCAGAAGTGGTTAGGCAGATGACATCATGTGACTATTAAGCATTGATACCATTCAAGTGACCTAGCTTAGACTATACCCTTTGAATGCAATGCAAGCAGCAGTGCCTACAACGGTGTTGTTCTTACCCACTGAGGCTGAACGAAGCTTCCCATGTAGACTGGCTTAGATGATGCACTGTAATACAGTTAATAAGCTTTACTGGAGATTGGGATTTATGCAATGTGAGAGGGTCTCTGTGTCCTTGATTTGCAGCAATCTGTCTGATAGGAAGGTGCCCTTGTGTAACTGTGGCACTTTTTACCAGCAGGTAGGGCACGTACTAGTTGAGTTAGCAGATGCGTAACTTCATTCTTCACAACAGTGATGGCTTCACTATTCTTGGTCACCATCAACATTACCAGAAATGTCTGTATTAAGAGCAGTTCTTTTGCCTACCTGTTCCAGGAGTTCAATTACGAGAGCAAAGAACAAAAGACCTACAAGATGCAAGAAGCAAAACCATATCAAAATGAGGAGGCTGCCTTGTTCACTGAGGGGTGATGATGTTCACAACAGGATACAGTAAGTGGTTTACTGTTATCCCTGATGAATTGAATGTTGGGGCATTACCCTCCATCCAGCTTTCGTGGACTGTTTCTGATGACAGCCAACTACTAAGTAAACCAGTTCCATACAAAAAAGCCCGACATATCAGAATGTCATCCTTCCCTTAGGGCTGACCTCCCTTTGACCCACCAATGGTGTGCAGATATCTAATTTCTCAGGGCACGCATCTGACTTTACAAACTTTAAATTCTAGGTTTACTGCTGTCTGAGTTTCTAGCCCTTCTGATTCTAAACACAACTAGAAGCCCTACTGACTTGATCACAAATTAGCTTCAGGGGGACTCACATTCATCTTAATGTAGTGCTGAGCTTGTTTACTGGCTGTAGAAGTAATTACATGAGTTAATTTAAGTATTCAAATCTAGCTATTTTGGGACATGGAAAATAGATGGGAAGTAAAATGGGCTAAAAATATGGGTGAGATCCTTATTCTGGTTCTCATAAACCACTGAGATTGCACAGGTATAATCCTGTAATGATGCCAGCTTTTCAAAATGAAACAATATGATGTCATAACAAAACAAAACAAAAAAAAGGTGGTTTTTTCCTGTCTAGTTTGGAACATGGTTGAGAATTCTGACATCTTCTGATCAAAGCGTAACCATAAAAAGCAGGACTTAGGGAAAGCCTGCAGATCCATCCAAGGAGACAGCATTGAAGCAGGGCTAAAGTGGATTGGTCCATGACAAGGGACATTAGACACATATTTAAATGAACTGTCTGATGTGTAATGAATGAAATTCCACTCTGATCAATGACAGAGCCAATATTTCTCTGAGACCACTTTAAGCCTTGGATAAAAGAACCAAAATCAAATATTTTCTCCTTGGCTGTAGAACATCCTCCATAGAATCAAATCCATTCTCCAAAGTATTAAACACTGAGCCAGGACTGTAAATCTATTCTTAATTACCTTATCACAAATATTTAATGCGCAGGCTGATTCAAGAGGGCTGTTTATAAAATTCTTGTTTGTTTGCCTTCTAATTATAAATGTTTATGATCTTATGCAATTAGCTGTGTGATGCTGATGGATGGGTTGCTGAGTCAACTGAGCACCTGTTTTCTTAGATAATTTTGGTTTCCAAATATTTATGAAACTACAAAATAACTTGTTTTCCTCTGCATTTGCGGGGCTCTAAATTACTTATTGATTTCCCAGTGTCAAGCTCAGGAAGCTGTAAAATTAAAAAAGAACCAAGCAGAGGGGTGGGCAGGGAGGCGGAAGTAACAGTGATTCATTTGCAACAGAGAATGCCAAGATTAAGCAAGAGTCCATCACTTCATATCATCTTGCAGGATGCTTAACACTTGAAACAAATTTGGTCTGCCTGAGTTAAATTAGGTTTGGAATTCCTACGTTCAGCTGTGTGTACCCCCTTCCAGAAATACTCCTCCCTTGAGATTCATTCTGGTTAAGAGAGCTGAATCTTTGCAATTAAAGGCCAGAGAAAAGTGGAAAATCCTTCACGAAGAACTGTGTTCAACTGCAAGCATCCAGCTGGAAGCAATTATTCCGTAAGCCAAATCCTCTATATGTGAGGAAGATAGCAATTTGGTGCGAACTCCTCTCTTTGTGAACTTCTCTCCCTTCAACTCAGAAATATCTCTATAAGAATTTCAGATGGATTCCAGTAGTGGCCTAATCCTTTTCCACTCCTCCCAAGTTTATCCTTCCCTCTTCTGCTCCACAAAATCTGTTCTCAACATATCCTATGTGAAAGACATCCTCTTCAGAAGTAAAATGTGTGTGAGTTTCACACAAATCTGCATTGCTCCCAGATTGTTGCCAGGTCCATGAAATTCCTTTTTGCAGTGCTGGTGAAATGAGGCTCCTAGAGAATGTAAGTGCTGAAGATGAGTCCTTCTCATTTTGTTTACTCATGCAGAGACCTGACTGGACCAGTATCAGAGCAGATTCCTTGAACTGAAAATGGTTGAATGTCAGGGGAAATAATCAGGGAACTTATCATATATGCTTGTCTTGCTTACATGATTTAACTCTTATGTTTGTTTGTTTCCATGACGGAGGCATAATAAAAAGCCAGACTGAGCTCTGGTCATGCTTAAAACATGCTAAACTCGACAGTACACAAAGGATACTATATTTATCTCTTTTTGCTATATTCACTCTCTTATACATCAGACTTTCTTGCTCCTTCTATTATGACTTTATTACTCTGCATGAGTCCATGCAGAGTCAGACCATGGGCAGCTCTGAGGAGCTGTGTAGTGTCTAGCCAGAAAAATCATTTGAAGTTGGGCAGGCAAGGATTGTGCCAGTGCAGTTGCATACACATGTCCCAAGCAGCTGAGAAAGCAAACTGACAACTGTTGAGTCTGGGAAGGATCTAGCTCTTCCATCTATCCACCAACCTCACTCTCATTCTCTTCCTAGAACAAAGACATTTGTGCAATTTCTTTTCCAGATGATCAAGCTGCAGTCTGCAACAGAGCTAGCACTGCTGAAAGCAGTTCCAGTTCCACGTTCTACTGATTTGCACAGCTATGCCTGAGCTTCTTCACACCTAAGATGCAGGAATTGGAAAGAAGAGCATGACCAAGGGTGATGGCCCAGAGATAAGGCTGATATCACTGTAGGGCTTCTCTGAGCCTTGCAATACCTGCCCTGGGTTTAGTTGGAACAGAGGTGCATTGCCATTGTTGAGCCTGTGAGAGCTCAAGAGAGACCCCAGAATGGCTGTTGGCAGAGCATGGGCAAAAAAAAGATATTAAAGAACACAAATTTGAGCCTCCAGATAGGCAAGAGGGGATCAGCTAAGGTACCAGCATCCTGTGAGATTAACCCAAGAGGCTGCAAGTCTTCAATTTACAGCAACTTTGGAGCAGCAGTTTCCCAGAAATGACAAGCAGTCACCTTGTGCACACTGTCAGCTCTACCACCAAGCGATCTTTTCTCCAGGACCTCCAGCCTCTAATTAACCTTCCCCTCATTCCAACACTTGCCATGCATTTTCTTGAAACAGACAGGTAAATTCTTGGGGCAGAAACTTTTTCTCCCATTTGCCACTAAAGAAACCATGAAAACAAGACCTTTGCTGACAGTGAGTGGTAGTTTGCCCTTGTGCTGTCACTCACATTATCTACAGGAACAAAAATCACAATCTGTCCTAGCCAGTTACTCTGTCCTGCTTCTCATAAAGCCCCTGCCCTGTAATCTGAGCTGTCATCTCTTGTTTCCACCTTCAGCAGCTCTTCCACCCTTCCGTTTCCTTTCCAAGTGCAGTTTCACCTCAGCCATACAGCTGCCATGCTTTTGCCTGTTTCTGATGCTTTCCTTGCTGAGTG